CCCCTCCCCTCCCCTTCGCTTCCCTCTTTCTCCCAAACCCAGTGCTCCCTCTTCCTTCCTTCCTTTCCTTATCTTTTTTTTCTTTTCTGGGGGATAGGGTTGTGCTAGATTGCCCAGTGTGTGCTTCCACCGGCTCTCCTCCCTCAGTCTCCCAGAGAGCTGGGGTTTTAGGCCTGTGACACCGCTCTGCTTTCAAGTGTAACAGCAATCTTCCACATTTGAGCCCAGGGAAAGCTGCAACAACTGTGTTTAAGTCTTAAGAACTCAAACGCTATAAACTCTGTGTAGCAAACATTGAGGGCCTGTTGCGCCTGCTTGATGTCGTGACCCTGGGAATGAAGGTGCAAGATGATGAGGTTACTTAAAAACCAGGCTTCTTCCATGTCATTTGGCCCTGGCTTATGTTTTCCTGATTTAACTGATCGTGTTGGAGAATTGAAGACCCATACTGCATGTGATAAACAACTGGGTTAAATGTTCTGCTGAAGCATGCTTAAGTATAAGAAAAAATTAGTGGATAGGGAAGGTACTGGGCTCTTGCTTATTATCCTGTCTGGTTGTCTTAGGGTCACTAAGATGCCAGACCCAGATGATGTGGCATTTGATGAAATGTTGTGGAACATTGGTTTAATTTGAACATTATATGTGAATTATTGATCAGTGATTAAAAAAAACACACTGAATTATCTTTGCGAAGAGACGATCTCACCTGGAAAAATATGAGCCACAAAGACTTGGGCAAGGCCCGTTCTTAAGGATCAGCTCCCTCATAATTCTTAACTTTTCTGCTTTGTGAGATGTGCATTTAACTTTTCATTGGAAGGAAAGTAAAAGTAATAGTTTCAAATAGGTAGTTTTATGCCTTAGGTCAGTTAATATATATCATTTTGAAAGCAGATATTTATATCCATCCATTAGAGTAGGGTGATCATTAGGGGTTACAGAAGGACTCTAAGCTTGGTATTACTCAATCGGTTTCATTTGCTGGGTGACTGCACCAAAACCTGAACTGACAAATACTAAATATGCATTTTGACTTAGATTATTCTCTTTTCTCCTTTAAGCCTTGAACTGAGAGTTCCATTTCTGGATCATCGGTTTTCTTCCTATTACTTGTCTCTGCCACCAGAAATGAGGGTTCCAAAAGTGAGTTTAAGTCAACTCGAAATAAACACTGTCCACTGCTCTTAGGTTGCTCATGCGACTTTTACTGATGCTCCTTATGTTTTCATGTCAGAATGGGATTGAAAAGCATCTCCTGAGAGAGGCATTTGAAGACTCCAACCTGATACCTAAAGAAATTCTTTGGCGACCAAAAGAGGCCTTCAGTGATGGGATAACCTCAGTCAAGAATTCCTGGTTTAAGATTTTACAGGAGTTTGTTGAACATCAGGTGTGATTTGATTTTTTAAGGAGGCTTTCCTGGAGTGGATAATTTGTACTCATATTTATCTAGTTTGAAAAATTTGTGTTTATAGGAGAGGTTCACAGTGCCTATAAACAATACCTTATTTATAAGAACTGTTTAATTTATCAGAATTAAATAGCATCTAGAAGCAAAAGAGAAAGGAGGAGCTGAGTCTTAGTCCTCATCCTTAACCATTTAACGCATTTTTGGGTGTTAGTATCAGCCAAAAATGAATGAAACACTCAGCACCAAGCTATGAGAAATATGCATGTGAATGTTTTTTTAAAAGTTACTGCCACAGCGATGTATATTATGGATGTTTTGGCCTTTAAAAGAGTGAGTGAGTGAATCAGTCTTGTACAATTGTTTTTTGTAGCTTCTGTTTACTTCCCTTTGGTCTCGTGGTGCCAGAGCAAATGTGAATATTTCCACAGCATTTACAAAGCCGTTTTGCCCTCACACTCTTATTCTTACAGGTTGATGATGCAACAATGGCAGCTGCAGCCCAGAAGTTTCCCTTCAATACCCCCAGAACGAAGGAAGGCTGTTACTACCGCCAGATCTTTGAACGCCACTACCCAGGCCGGGCTGGCTGGCTGACCCACTACTGGATGCCCAAGTGGATCGGTGCCACTGACCCTTCGGCCCGCACGCTGGCCCATTACAAGTCAGCCACTAAAGCTTAGGTGCTCCCTCTCCATGCTGGGGGCAGGAAGCAGACGTCTCTTCCTGCTGTGGTGGTGGGGAAGTGGGGGGTGGATAGAGGACCCGTAGGAGTCAAACACTCAGGCTTCCTTGAGCTTGACAAAAATAAAAGTCATACATCTAAAATCTAAAACATCGCTCTCCTCATTTATGTTCACACAGTGCCCCCGCTGTCAGTAGTTAAACACTGAGGAGCATTTGGTGTGTATCGTTGTAAGAAGGACTAGGCCCCTAACGCTGCGGACATACTCAGTGGTATCGTGCTTGCTAGCATCCACAAGGCCCTTGGTTCAATCCCCAGCACCCCTCTCAAACAGAGACCCTTAAAAACAACAACAAAGCAAGGTCGTGGGGGGAGGTCTGATGTAGCTCATAACACTTTCCCGACAGAATGGCTTTGCAAGCAGTCAGCCTCATGCACGTGTGGCCTCCTCCCCAGAGTTGTGTCACCTTGCTATGGTCCTTTGGCAACTTCTTTTAGTTTTAGCTCCATCCTAATAGCTGGCTAGGCAAACTCTGGAGATGGAAGTCCTCTGTTAGGTACTCATCATAGTTCTGTTCTCTAAGATACCAATTCATTTTCTTTCTTATGTTGAACCAATGTCCTTTCCGGGGACTATTCTGGAACTGGGGTCAAACTTTAATAAAACTTTAATAATATGTTAGGCTTGGAGGATCTGTTTTGGAACTGTTTAGCTCAATATGTCAACTAATAGGCACGGTTGAGGCCTGTTAAAACAGTTATAAAACCAAAGCTAAGCACTTTTGATTGAAAAAAAGGATTTTGAACATAGTTGGGGAAAGGAAATATATGGAGACATTCAGTGAACAGGTTAGTGTTTCATTTAAGTACTCATTGGTTGTTTAGAGAACATATTGAAATACATAATGTGGATTTGGCTATTAAACATGTTTAAAAAGGGGATGGTAGAATACAGGTAAATATAAGAATACTTGGTGGGAAAAGTGAGTAGGCCAAAATTTTAGCTATTAAATTAGAAGATGAGAAATTGAGGCTGGACGATTTTTTCCCCCTCCTATAACTTCAAAATGTCTTCCAGAAACGGAGGACATGCCATTAATAATTAGATGTCTTTTAAGGATTTTCTTGGATTTGTAAGCACTTGAATTTTGAAGGTGGACTGATTTGACAGTAACATATTTCCTGAGAAAGCCTCACCCAACCAAGCCGGGCAGTGTTAGAAATACTTTATGCCTCTAGATTTTTGACTTTAGTAAAAATGTGAGATCGTCCGTGTTCAGATACCTCTCAGAAGTTTAAGAGATACTTCAGCCAATTTCATATCAAATTAAAGGTTGGGAAGAACAGCAGCAAGTTACTGCATTTCAAATTACACAAAAGACCCGTTTGTTCTTGGTACACAGTGCTTCTCTCTGCACCTTTCGTAGTAGATCATTGGAGGAAATGTAGGCCCTCCCTTGGCTCATGCACATAACTCAGTAGTTTACATATCAGCCAAGCATGTTTTCCAAGGTCTTTCAGATCTTAGTCATCCAGTGATAAGGAGGAACTTAGTATCTAATCCACACAGCATGGCTAACCTTTCCGACATAAACTAAATGATTGCTAGTTGATAATCCTGGGATTCCAGCCTCCTGAGCACCTAGTAAATGGCTTGCTTGCTACAGGTTTATTTCACTTTGCCTTAGTACCTGCTCTTCAAGAAATACCATGTAGTTTGACAGAATTTTTATCCTTGTTTTTAAAAATGAAAGTAAAAACCCACCAAATATCCTGCTACCTGCTTTTAAACAGTTTTAACATGTTCTTGCAGATCTCCAGCACCACTATATGTGTGTAGGTAGATTATCCTATTTAACATAAAAGCTCAAAGCTTCTTAAATCCTTTACAAGGGAAATAGGAGCTAGTCCTGTGCCTGGGACAGTCCAGCGGGATAGGGATCCCAGTGGTGCTGGCTGTTTTCTATAATGGAATGGGTGCGTACTGAGAAGACAGTCCCAGTATTTCAGTGTTTTACTACAACAAAGTTGTTTTTTGTTCAAATGCTGCCCATTTTTAGCCTATGCACAGCTCTCCACACATTGCTGAGGGGTTTATAATCACTCCAAGAGCCAGACTGTTGAAGGAACAATCTTGACTCATACTTCAGCATCAGCTAGGGGAGCATGGAGGAAGTAAGTGGTGAATCATGTGCTGAAAAGTCAATCTTCCTCTCCGAAACGTGTATGCCATTCCTGTTCACGTTCCACACTAGTTACACGGCCACACCTAACTCCAAAGGAGCATGCACCAGCATGGATAATTCAAGCATTTGGAAAAAAGCTCCAGCTCCTCAACCTTTCAATCACCCAGTACTCTCCTATATATGAGATACCCTCGTCCCTTTTTCAAGGGTGAATATCTGAGAATTCCATTCTGCACGGCTTTAAGCTCAAACCTCATGATCTTGGGGTAATGGACTGATGGCAGAGACTGTTTCAGGGCTGAGAGGCAGCATTTCTTCATGAAGTAAAAAGAAAATATATTTAGCCCCCCACCAGTACAATAAATAATAAAGCAGGAATAGGATAACTACCGCAGCAACAACAAAAGTCAAAAAGGGGAGACATACAGTGAACTCTGCTCTGTAATCACTCTTAATGGCTTGCTGATCAGCCATGCAAAAGCCCCATCTTTCCAGCAAAAATTGGCCTTCAAGGGTCAGCAGCAGCCAAGATGTCAGCTAGGGAAATGAGTCCCTAAGCACTGGTGAGAAACGGGACGGTTCGAGGGGAATGGATGACTCCTGGTACTGACACTGACTTGGCTCCTGCTTTTCTTTTGGGTTACGCGGCTTAAGAAGTAACGATTATTGATCATGGTTCTTGGGCACCAAGCACTGCTCTGAAAGCTTTAACCGTGTTTCACCACAGCCCTGGGACATGTGTACTGTTAAGGCCACCCACATCTTATGGATAAGGGACGTGACGCACAGAGGGATCATGTTGCATGCCCAGGGTCCATGAGTTTCAGTAAGAGGAATGGGGTATTTGATCACAGGTGTCGGGATTTTAGAGAATCACTATTCCAGGTGATTTTGCGAAGGGATACAAATGTAGAATATAAGTATGGAAAAATCCTACATAATCTATATTCTAATGGGAGTATATGTTCAATTTATGATTAGTTTATAAATTTTTAGCACATCTAATTTAAGCATAAGATAAATTTTAATTTCTGAAGTTGGTAAGGAACATGCATATGTACTCACTCATGTGATTTAGATCTGTGGATGTGTGATCTTCTCTAAAGTCTTACATGATTTGAAGCCTTGTCTATCCACTAAAAATGGCAAGACATTAATTCATGGTTCTCTTTGAAGCTTAGAGAATTTTAGTAAGACTAGAGGGGAAAGCCATAAACTTTCAGTATACTTAAAAAATTGGTTATTGCTGTAGTATAAAGTACAGTATTTGATCCAAGTGCTAAGAATATAATACATAAACCACAAGGTGGCAGCCTCAATACGTTTTTTCCTTCAAGCAATTTTATGCAGGTTGTGTGTCTCTCAAATGACCACAAGATGGGGCAAGATAATATTCAACTGAACATACTCTTTCAACTGCCAGGGGAATTTTGGTTTGTGTGTTTGTGCGCATGCATTTATGGTTTAGAACTTTTTGTGGTCATATATTAAAACTACAACCTCAGATCATGACCTTGTGTATGTCTTGTCAGATCGTCTCATGGGATATGTAGTGGTTAGACTTTGGTTTGTATTTAAAACCAGCTATCTTCCTGACTTTGAAGTAGGCCATGTCTACAGTTCCTTCCTAATTCTGTGACTCATCTTGGCTCGTGGTGCGGGAAGGTGGTCTCCCCAGTTCTGAACCTCAACTGAGGTAGAGAATAAAAGAGGAAGTGGGATGAGTTCTATATTGGGCAGCAAAGTTTGATGATAACTGCAGAAATGTGGGTCATGTAATATGTAATGTCCACTGTAACTATCCCCTGCCAGAAATCGCGCAGTCTGTTGTAGAGAGGGGACATGGGAAAGCTTCCCTGCATAGGAGGGGGCTGTGGCCAGTGGCAAGGAACACAAGATTCTTCTAGATCACGTGACAATACTAGTGTTCATTGTTTAAAAAAATACAGGAATCCAATTTCTGTGAAAATTTTTCATATTAAGTATTGAGTAAAATGTTGAAGAGTTTTCAGATGGAACAGAATGTGTCTTGTGCGATAACATTAATTTATATAAGTGAATCTCTCTATAATCCATATAAAGTGACACAGACCAGTAGTTGATAAGCAAATTTAGGCTACTTTCCATGGGGACTATGTATGGAATCACAAAGTTACTGGCACTTTAGGCAAGGGAGCCAATGAAAGTTTTTGCATTCCTCTCTGTCAACCTTTGGAAGAAGGCAAAGCCTTGGGGGATTTGTAGGTCTGGGAAACTCTCACCAGCAGGTGACAGGTCTCTGGAAAAGGCTGCAGCCAAGAACTACTGTGACTAGCATTCACCGTAGCTGAGAGTTTGATGTGCTAATCTGGTAAAAGGATGGAATGTATGAAGCCACGTTCTGCCACATTGATATTAAGCGTGATCAGAAGCTATAAAAACTATGGTGAGTGTTTAAATACATTGTATTATAAAAGACACATTGCTATTAATGCTTCTCAAAATATTCCCTTTGCTTTGAACACAATTATGCTATCATTCTTGGCAAAAGGTCATTTACTATAATTTTAGAAATTTAAACATTCACTGTTTTTCAGTCACCCCTTGTATCCACAAATGTTTAAGGGTCCTTAGAGAAGTGATAATCCTGTGAGGAAAAAAAAATGCTGATTTTTTTTCTCCATCAATGCACTGGTTATAAGCTTATAACTTTTGTAGTTTGTATTTCTCTGTAAACATGGGTGTATCTTTGGTTAGCTAGTCCTTCTAAATCTTTTTCCCCTCTAAATATTTCAATATCTAGGTAATTTATTTTGTGGATTTTAATAAAGTCACATTGTAGTGGGTAAAATACATCACTATCTATGAAAAGTTTCGTTTTCCAATGAAAATACATACTTTAGGAAATAGGATTTCTAGTTGTGAATCTCGGGCTTAGCTGAGGGAGTCTAAGAAGCAATCTTTGTGCTCACCCACTTGATACAA